TGTTAGAGGAGGAAACAGGAGTCCTGGCGTCTTTGTTAACTGTTCTTCCATTCCTCTTTATAAATACTTGTTTAAAAAATTTAAAAAGCATTTTGGGGTCAAAGGATCTGTCCTCCCTTTCTACCATGTGGGCCCTGGGGACGAAACTGGGGTCTTCAGGCTTGGCAGCAAGCACCTTTACTCTTTGAGCCATCTCGCTGGCCCACAAATACTTGCCAAATCTTGTGGTAAACCAGTAAGACATCTGAACACCGTGGAGCTGGAAAGGAGCTTGCCTATGCTGGTGTGCTGGAGTGCTGGCATTGGGCTTCAGAAACAGTGAAATCTCATCCCAGAGACCCACTGTGATATAGGGAGATTCAAAAGGGTGAACGGCTGGCTTTAGTTCCAGGTCAGGGCACCAGTGAGTGATGACTCCCTCGGTCAGTGTGTTCTGTACGCCATTCCTAGAATCCCCCACTCCAACTCCACTACTGTGAATATAGTCCTGAAACTACAGTGTTTTATCATATACGTCAATAAAGTCAGAAAGTGTGGCCAGCAGAGCTCATGAGACCACAGACCAGGCTGGTTTGGACAGCTTATTCAGCCTGTGGGGTGTAGGGCACCTGACTGCACTCTCATCACCAGACTAGGGCGGATATTGGAAAGCTCATTTTACAGGTAGGGGAACCCAGGAGCTCAGAGAGGTGAAGCAACAACTGCCCACAGACAACCACCAGGGAAGGAACGGAGCCCGGATCCAAACACAAAGTCCCCACCTCGCTGCCTCTGAAATACTGTAGCGGTAACCCAAGATAGCCTTGCCTGACATACAGAGGGACAACTTGAGTGTGTGTTGTACTGGGCACTGGATGCAGGACCTTGCACACGTGCCCTGCCACGGAGCTATATCCCCACTGCAAAAAGACTCTTTGTGCTGGTCTTGAGCTTGTTCTGTAGCTTGTGACCCTCCTGCCTCAGCCTCCCAAGGGGCTGGGATTGCAGGCCTGTGCCACAAACACCCTGCCCTGCCTTTTTGGGGTTCTTCGATGTAACTTTTTAAAGGAAATGTGTGTATCTTACTACTCATTTAATAAACATACATTTAACAGATGAAGATAAGCCTGTATTAGTGCATTTGTCCAATTTTCCACTTACAAAGTATGATATTGAGACCATTTGAGGCCATTCTTTCTCTTATTATCATAGAATGCTGTAGAACAACCAGAGTCAGAGCAACCCTGGGGACCATGTCTTCTTCCATTACAAGGCCTATTCAAATTTCAAGGGTCTATTTCAGAGAACTTTAAGAAAATAGCATCCTTAAAATAATTAAATCCGGGGTTAGAGAGATGGCTCAGCAGTTAAGAGCACTGACTGCTCTTGCAGAGGACCCAGGTTCGATTCCCAGCACCTGCGTGGTGGCTATGAACCATCCTTAACTCCAGTTCCAGGGGAATCCGAAGCCCTCGTCTGACCTCCACAGCATTGCACAACACGGGTGCACTCACGTACATGCAGGCAATACACTCATACACATAAAAATAAACAAATAATAAGTAAAATATATTTTTTTAAAAAATTAAATCCACTGAAGACTATTTTGCTAGGCTAGTTAAGCAATGGAGAGGCAGAGTTAGTATTGTAGGGACTAAACATCAGGCCAAGGTGGTGTCCCTACCCCTACCGGGACACGTCATCCCAGAGCTTTGCCCACACCAACCTCTCAGTTTTTAAGCCAAACAGTCTGTGTGAGCCAGAGAGAGACAGTCACAGGAGCTACTAGGACTTCCAACTTTCCTCCACACTCAGAACAAGCAACGGAAAACAACTATATCTTTGCTATGAAGTGACCCAGGAACCAAGAGACTAAAGATCAAGACGGCGATGTCTGCCCTCAGAGGGGCCATGCTGGACACACCTGGGTAGAGGGAGCCTCAGTTTGGGAATTGCCTCCATTGGACTGACCTGTGGCCATGCCTGTGGGGTAGTTTCTTGATTGTCGAGTGATGTGGGAAGACGCAGCCTACTGTGGGTGGTGCTACCCATGGACAGGTGGTCCTATGTTGTATGAGAAAGCAGGCTGAGCAGGGGCCAGGGGAGCAAGTCAATAAGCAGTGTCCCTCCATGGCCTGTGTTCCAGCTCCTGCCTCTGGGTTCCTGGCCTGAGTTCCTATCTTGGGCTCCCTCAGTGATGAACTGTGACCTGAGAGCTGTAAGCCAAATACACCCTTTCTTCCCCAAGTCAGTACTGATCAGAGTATTTTGTTACCGCATTTGAAAGGAAACTATAACAGGCCATGGGCAGAATCGGTAGTCTAGAATCATCTAGTAGACATTGGGTTATAGCTGATTCTCTCTGATGCCAATAAAATCAAGAGTTAAAATGTACAATTTTCAGTTTAAAATATATAAAGTAATATATATTAAGAATCTGGTAGAAAGTTAAGTAGTGACCCAAACATGCACACAAACATATGTACATGGTCTGTGTGTGTGTGAAAACATGTCTAAGAGGGACAACTCCCTGAGGGACGGCTCTTGCCTGTAAGTCATTTATATTTTTAGGAGTTGCCTTCTAGCAGCTGAGGCAGGATCCGTATCTTCCCAAATGTCATCTGCCAAGCTGAGAAATGTGATACTAATTTAAAACTCCCAGAAGAAAACAAAAATCTCTGAATTTTCCTGGCAATAAAATCCTATTCCACAAGGAGCTGAGAAATTCAATTAATAGAACATACTTACTCCTGAAGAGATTATGGGGTTTTTTTTTTGTTCAAAATGAGTGAGATTCTGGGGCAATAAACATAGCAGAGAAACCTTGGGGGACTCATCTGTCTTAAGTGACACTTTAAATTGCACTTCAAGTCTGAGAAAGGACAGGATGGCTTTCGTTTGGGGGTATGACACAGGGACCAACAGGCAACCCACTTGCAGACTGCTGTTCCTGAGACCCCACAGGATGGACAGATTTGTCTTCTGTCGTGTCAAACAGGTGACAAAGGAACCTGCTGGCCCAAATCTCTTAGAATGATCTAGAAAAATGAATCAGATTTACTAGTCATCATACAGTGAGACACAAAGATTTTTCTAGATCACATGGGTGTCAGAAGCATTATTTTGGGGGCTGTATTTTAGTTGATTTCAAAGGACTCGAGGAGAAAGAGAATGAATTGCAAGTGTTCGTCGCTGTTCACAAAAGCCAAACAGAAAGGGACAGAGGTGCAGGGCATGGGGCAGCCCGGGAGAGGACCAGGCAACAGTTAGTGACATTAACAGAAAAATAAAGGGGGCCGCGAACTTTGTCACATATGGCAAATGGTTTGTGAGGGTGCACTGACTGTGTGTGTGTGTGTGTGTGTGTGTGTGTGTGTGTACACAAGCAGGATCCCCCCATCCAGCCAAAGAGAAGCACCTCTCAGTTGTCAATGAAGAGACTTAATTCAGGCAGAAGACTGGCTGCCGCCACCACGTGAATTTCTACCTCCTCCTCATCCCACACGTGGCTCCAGGACCCCTGATGGAGGCCCCTTCTGTGAGGGGTGACCTGCGTGGCTCCCACCACTGCAGACACCCACACTGCTGCAGACTCCCAGCCACAGTGAGGCTCAGAAGATCAAGGGACCAGTCGCAGCAGCCTTTTTAACTTTGGGAAAACCCAATGCTCACTTCACTCAAACGTCGCAAAGTGGTGCCATGACCCTTTAGCTCTTGGCTCACCAATTCAAAGAGCCACATCACATACAGCCCTTCAGCTGCCCACGGCATGATTCTGCGGCAAGTTCCTTTCCAGGTCCCCCCAAGCGGAAGACAGCTCTGGTAGGGAGTCCAGGCAAGATCACTATAATCAGCCTTTGTCCTTTCTTCTGTTGTCTTACTGTAGAACGAGGAACGCACGTTTGAGAGGTTGAGGGCCCCAGTGAGTGCTGGACCACAGACCTGTGCTCAGGACCTCAGGTCTGCTTAATCTAATCCAGCAATCTCCATTTCAAAGATGAAGAAACTGACCTTCAAAGAAAGCAAAGCAGGGGCCCTTCCTCACAGCCAAGGAGGGCCTGGGACATGTTTGGCTGGATAGCCAGGCCTCCTACCTCAGCAAACTTCCTGAGCATCTCAGCAGGTGGGAAGTGGGCAACTCTGAGCCAGATCAGGCTTTAGTCCCCTAATTAGTGCTGTGTTGACACACAGCCAGATCTCCTCTCTGGGTTTTTAGTTTTCTCATCTGTAAAATGATCTCTTCTGCGCCTTTTGGCTAAGACCAAGTGTAACTTCATCTGTAAAGAGACAGGATGGGATCCGTGCATTCAAACTACATTAAGACTTGGCATAAAATTGAGAGTCTGTATGGATATAGTTTCTATATGAATATGGACACCCTGGACATGAGATACATTACAAGTAAACACATTTCAACTTTGCCTAATTCCTCGAGTCCACCTTCTCCAACCAGGATGGTACACCTCAGAATCCTAGGTGCCTAAGAACCCAACACAGAGAGAAGGAATAAGGGACCCCGACTTAGCAGATGTCGTTAAATTCCTTGGGGACGGGGGTTGGGGGAGGGGGCTGCCAATCTCAGGCAGAGCTGGGCAAGGGGGGGATTGGGGGAGGAGTTAAAGGTGGCAGACGGTGGCTGCCCCTCTGTGGGCGAGTCAACTGCCAGTTTTCCCGGTGGACAAAGCAAAGTGGACAAGGGGACCCAGGTTGGATAGTAGCACCTTGTGGCCAAGGGCTTGGTTGGAAGCCAGGGAACTGGGTGCAAGTCAGGGGCTCGGTGCAAGCCGGAGGCCGTGGGTGGGGTGGGGTAACCGGTGCCAGCCGGGGACTGGGTGCAAGTCAGGGGCTCTGTGTGCAAGCCGGGGAACTCAGGGGAAGCCGCGCTGCAGCCCACGCGGGAAGGCAGCGCCCTGCAGCCGGGGTGGGCGGCCGGGCGGGGCGCGGGGCTCCGCAGAGGCGCGGTGGGCCGGTCCTCCCCTCCCTCCCGGGCGGCGCCGGCGCTAGGACCCGGCCCCCGGTACCTGGCGAAGCAGCACTCGCAGTGGTTGCCGCGCTCGTTGACCGTGAGCACGTAGGCGTAGGCCGGGCAGGAGAAGAGCAGCTCGCCCACGCGGAAGGGCCGTAGCGCCCGCAGCCCCCGGCCCTTGCCCGCGCTGCAGAAGCGCTCCAGGCCGCCGCGGGCCTCCGCGCGCATGCTGCCTGCCGGGCGCTGCGCGGATCGGACGCGCGTCACCCGCGGGGGGCGGGCTAGGAGCG